GCGGACTGTTTGCACATTATCATTTTATTTGTACATCATTCGGGGATTTAATAGTAGTCGATAAAGGCGCCTGAATATCTAACAGAAAAATGCTCGACTCAATTCTAAAGTGTGTTACTTGAAGCGTATAAAATGTCTAATAAACTATACACGTTTAAAAGTTGAAATTTTGCAGGTTAATAAATTGAGATATGTTTTATATGTTATTTAAAATACCGTATTTGACGACATAAAAATCTCACAGATATATTAGACGTTCCCACATTTCAGTGGAACATATTCAGGAAAAATAAGTTGTGGCGCGTGCGTGCACATCAGAATGTTACCGGTGTGGATAGGTGGTAGGATAATTATTTTATCGAAAACATAGGACATAAAAACGAACTGCTCAAAGGTTAAAATATATATTTTTTAATTTTTTTTAGAGTGAAGCGTGAGTCCTTTAATATTCGGCGTAGCAAAAAGTTCGTTAATAAGGCAGATATTAGTAGCAGTCTGGAGAAAGTTCCGTTAGTGGGCGTTTTGAAGTAAGATCACGATAGAGATAGTAGTAATATCAGAAATTAGGTGAATAGAAATGTCAGTAGCTAATGACCTCTTAACTGTTTCTTCTCACGTCATGCATGGCCGGTTTCTACGCGACAGCGTTCTTTTGTTCTGTCCTCTCCTGGTGTCCCATCTTGTCCCCTCTGGGACTGGCCCAGAGGTGTTCGGTTTAGAACCTTTTCAATGGGCTCAGAGTTTGCGGCGGGAACTTTGGTTTCGGTTAACATTGAAAAAGTCTCTTTCTGTCTTTCCGGCGTTCTTTACTTTTCCATCTTTTTATAACGGAAGTTATGCGTGGAGCCTACATGGTTGTTTATATTTTTTCAGTTACAAATAAGTAAGCTGAACTCCTGCAAACTTCTAGTGCTTTTGACCGGCTTCTGTCTTTTCTTCTTCCTCTTTTTATTTGAGGTTTGGCTTCTCGCAGGTTGAGAGTATAGAAAGAGAAGTTTAAAGAAAGAGAAAGAAGGAAAGAGATAAGAATTTTAAAGGAAAGCGCAAATGCCTTGTTTTAATTTGAATCCTTATTATTTTTGTTTTTGAATTTTATTCTTTATGGGGACTCACTACAAGTTGTTTGTCTATTTAAGCATATAATGTTGAAATTAAATTGTCAGTATTGCATAAGGGCATCCACATTTTTGGCATACATTTTCGATACCTAAGGTTTAAAATTAAATTTTAGAAATGAAAAATCTTTCTTGAAGATTTCATTTTAGCTTTAATTGAAAGTTTAATAATTAAATTTATTATTTCCATTAAGTAAAATATTTTGGTGCATTTCAGATAGAAATTATATAGATTGGAATGTCAAATTTAATTTTGATTTCCTAAAATTTTCTCAAAAGCGGCCATTTTCTTACTTTTAAGAAATTTGTAAACAAACCTATTTTTTCTATTTTAAAATTCTTTCAAAAAATAAATATATATTTCTGACAAGTTATTTTAGTAAACTTAGAAAATTTAAAGTTAAATTAATCTGATTTGAAATAAATGTTATTTACTTATAGCATAAAAAAATAATATACAACCAATTATTAACGATTGGTGCCGTTCATCTGATCCAACGTTTTATGGACTGCTGATAGACAAAGCGATGACAGCTACTATGAATGACACAATTGTCAGAAATCAAAGTGAACGCATATTTTTGGTTTTTAACTAACTCGTAATTTTTACAAGTGAACATATTTTCCGCAATTATTTAATATTTTATTGACTTTTATTTACCTTTCGAAGATGAAAAAAAAAATAGTTTTAAATTTTATTCAAATTGCATAAAACATTATTATTATGGGGTTGAAATAAAAATTATAGTCTGTGGTAAAATTGTAACCCACGTTATTAAGAGTTGGAGATGAAAAATAGACAACAGGAGGCCTCGGCAACATAATCGTTATGAGTCTCTACCGATTGAATAGAATTTTATTATAAACAATTGTCTTGTAAATGGAATTTTTAAAGCATTTTGAATGTAAAAATAAAGAAAAAAGTGTGCAAGACAATAAGAAACACTACCTGCCAAAAAAAAAAGTGAAGTTTTGTTGAAATCGGTTTAAAAATGTAGGAAATCCGATCCTATATATAAACGAACACACACACACACACACACACGCAAACAACCTGGGTTTTATAATAAGTATAACTCGATATGAGTTGTCCCCCTTTCATTCTCGCGATGCCTCTTAATCGTGTTTTCAAATTGATTTCGTGCAAAAACAATTGTGTTTTTCCAATTTTTGTCGCTGTCAGAACCACCGCATGGTAATTTTACATAGTCCTGTGAAGTTTTGTTGAAATCGGTTGAAAAATGTAGGAAATCCGATCCAATATATAAACGTACAGACACACACACACACACACAATCTGCATTTTATAATAAGTATGATGAATAAGGCTTAAACATTTTTAAAGGATTTCGATTTTGTTTAAGATCTTGTTGCCTGATGTGATTAAATGTAAACAAAAACAGGAAGCTGAAGAGTTATAACCACGCATGTCCTAAAGACACACACACACACACACACACACACACACACACACACACACACACACACACACACACACATCTATCGCAGTTTAGCATCCCGCTACCACTTTCTTATCAATGTTGAATTTTGTAAAATTTTGTGTAAAAAAGTGGATCAAAAGCTTATTCAGCGTCATACAGATTTTCAGAAAATATCAGCTTCTACTTGGTCAATAAGCACACAAGTGGGTGTTGGAATCCACCCACGTACAAATATTTTTCCAGCATGTGACCAAATCAAGTTTTCTCGCCATATTCCGTGAGCCTGTCACGTGATTACATTAATTATAAATAGCAGACACAAGCTTGCTCTTTCTCTTTTCTGTTCCCTTTTCCTGCGAAGATGTGATCTTTAAGGATCCCGTCTCGACCATAGGTGGTCTGACGTTTAAAGCATATTCACGCATGCACGTACGTACGAAATTTTCCAAAGTATATTACAAACATACGAAACATTTCCAAACAAGCAACAAGAAATTTTCTCTTTGAAATACTCTTCTAAAGCTACAGTTTATTCAGCATTTCTCAGCTTTATAATTCATTCGACTTTCGTGAGCTCAGATAAAAATATTAATTCAGTCCAAGGGACACAACACCAGCAAAATAATAACCTCTACGCATGTACATCATTACACAAAAATAAATATAAATGCTGTTGTTATAAAAACCGTTTTTGTTCCTTCTTGCGTTTCATATTTTGTAGTATTTTACGTTAAATATAAATCGTGTGGTCATGTTAATAATAAACAGACATCTACAAATTCTTGTTAACATACCACAACAGCAGCAGCTGCCTCATTATCGAGCATTTTTTTTCTTTTTGTTTAATTATTTTGTACCTAGAAATGTTCCAAAGATGCAATGAATCATTTTTCAGCTAGCAGAGATCTACCACACACACACACACACACACACACACATATATGTGTGTGTGTGCGTGTAGAGGGCCAGACAAACTTACCAAGGTTTCACCTAAGCGCATCGTCAGGGAAGGCTTGCTTACAAACTTTACTTACTTTCTTCGCAAAAAAAAAAAAAAAAAGTAATTTAAAAGAAGAGAAAATGTTTGTTTTTTTCTTTGGGCTATGAACTTGCATGCTAGACGATTATTTTCAGCTAACGTACATGTTCTTGGTTCTTTCTTTTTTTATAGCTTTTTTCCCCTTTGGTATTGGTTTGATTATTTGCAAATCAAGACACCGAAGCTTTTCCAAACGAGTATAATTTCTTATATGATTACTACTAATAATACACATCATACATACATACATATATATATATATATATATATATATATGAATTAAAAAAGGTTTTGTGTTGCTTTAAACACAATACAAACTTATAAAATCACTAATTTTTTTCAGTTTTTTTAAATTTGAATTTTTTACTGTTGTCATGTCATCCAGACACAAATCCCAATGCTGGATGTTCAAGCATCAGATGAAGGGTAGATTTTCTGTCCCGGTATCATCCTGATTCCAAAAAGGTATGTCTAGAGCAAGTGTGGCCCGAGTTAGAATGATTTCAGACACACGGATAGACAGAATTTTGCTGTTCTTCTATTTATTTTAGAATAATGAATAATTAAAATTTCAATGTGAAATATTTGAGTAATCTCCCTTGGACCATAACGCCTAATTCTAAGGAAGGTAATTAAAGTTTTTGCATACAAGAATGATTTTTAACAGTTCAGGAAATGGAGTATGATGCGGGCCGAGTTCAAATTTTGAATGTAACAGTTTTTGTTCACTTCTCGCTGATGCCTTTGGGAAAGGCATGAACCCACCTTTTCTTCCACCTTATCTATGGGTTAAATAGGATAGCTGACCTAGCTCTCCAACCTTGGTTGGCAACCAGAAGGACAACAAGAAAACCATTCCACGATATTTCCCAAGAAGAACAATCATGGCAATTCATTCAACAAGTACAAGTTCCAGTTTAGCAATTGTAAAATTTAAACATTTGATAATGTCATAATGTCGGACGCAAAGTCAGGAACCGTTATTGGCATTTATGTGTCTAGTGTACATTTTGAATGGTGTTCCAACTTTAAAGCCGTTTTTCACTCTTTTCCATTTTAAAACCTTTCTTCTCTGAAGAGTCAACAGTCCTCTCTACCCCTATAAATTTTATTTTCATAAAGAAAAGAGCAGAAAAAGAAAGTATTTCGGAAAATATATTTTTGTATAAAAAAAAAATATATATATATATATATTTTTCATAATCGAATCTTTATTGCTTATTTTCAAGGAAGGCAGGCTAGATTACTTTTCTTACTTGAAATATTGGCGCAACACGATCATCCGACACCTATATCGCATCATTTGGTCTTATGGTGTATTATTACTAAGCAAACTAAGCGTACCTAGCAGCACGTGTTAAGGAACTCTCTAAAGCGCGGAGGTACAAATCGTTGATTACTAGAATGGCAGCCGTCGGTGACTCTAAGCCAGAGGCAAATCAAGCCACAACAAGTGATATTGACTTGCGCCCACACTGCAAATATGGAAGTAACTGTTATCGAAAGAATCCAGACCATTTTCGACAGTATCAGCACCCAAAAAGGAACCGTCCAGCAGCTGCAAATCAAAATGACGAGGTCAGTAAAACTTACACCCAGGAAACAATAACAACAATGATTTAAGGAAGTCTTATTTTTTTTTTTTTTTAAATTATTTCCCGCCAATCTGTCCCTTTCTTTTTTTTCCTAAATGAATTTAATACTTTTCTTTTTTTTAACATTCTGATTATCTTGCTATAGGAAATTATTAGATATTTCAAGGTTTCGACTACTTTTTTCTAGGATCGGCTGATTAAAATCGAATAGATAAATAAAAAACTATGATGCAATTCGAAGAAATAAACATTGGGGTGTCAATACATGGAAACTATCACTCCTCACTTCACCGTTGTTAAGACATTTTTTTTTCTCTTATTTTAAATTACATATTTTTTTTTTTGCGAAGAAAGTAAAATTTGTTTCAAAATATGTTAAATAAACTTTAAATTTTCTTCAAATAAATTTTGAAAAATCTATAATTGATTTTTGCAAGATTTTAAACAGAATTTGACTTCTATTTTACAAAATCCTAAAAAAATGGTTGAAATATCGATTTTTAGTAATTTCGCTGACTCAAAAAAAAACAAAATCATTTTTAACTAAAATTTCGGAAGTGCTAAAAAGGATTAAAATTTTTCAAAAAAACAATCAAAAAATATTTTGGTCTTTTCTAAACTAAACATTTTGATAAATTTTCTTTTTCATCAAGTCAAGTTTAAAGCCGTTTTATGCATTGCTCTTTCTTTTTTCATCGATTTTTTTTGGTGTCATTTATTTATTGTTTACTGTACAGAACAAAAATAACTTTTTCTTTCAGTTCTGTTAAAAGGTAAATTAAATTAATAAACAACAACAAATTGTCTTAATTATAATACTAATCTTGTTTCTTACTGATTAAATCACCAAGGGAAACTCTATATTCCAAATTTTAAAAAATAATGTTTTCTTTTCTTTTTTTTTTTTTAAATGTTTTCTAAAAATGTGATACACATTAAAAAATATTTGTCACTTTACTTGGTAAATTTTCATTATGTTTTCATGCTTGATTTCTTTTTTTTGTTTTTGTTTACTTTTTCTGTCTTGATTGGAGACTTAGTTTTTTTTTTTTTTTTTTTTTTTTAAATGTTTTTAGTGCTAGGGGTCTCTAAAATCAAAAAGCGTGAAAGAAAATATATCAAATTTGTCATTTAAACTTTATTGTTTAGTTTTCAAACTCGAGCCTTTTGCTAACGTTCAGATCCCTAATATTTTTAATTTTAAAACTTAAAGTCATTAAAAAAATAATAATCAGACCTTTTTTTAAAAGTTGGTCTGTTACTTTTTCTCTCTCTGGTTAAAATTGGTTACACATTGAATTGATATTTTTTTAAAATGAAACTTTGTTAAAAAAATTCTCTATAAATTTTAATATCTTTAATAAATTTATTTAAAGTGAACAAATCTTTTAGGCAACATTTTTAAGTACATAAAAAAAATCAACAGCTTGAAAGAAAATCATTTTTCTTGCCACTTTTTAGTCACTTTTTTTTTTTTTTTAGCTGCATATTGAATTGATTGATTCATACACATTAAGTCATGTAAATAAATTACTTTCTAGATCAATACAGAAATAAATAGCAACTAACTTTCCAAATTTCTAATTACATTAGCTTATCACCCTTAGATACAAAATTTCCTTTAGTTTATCAAGAAATCTCATAAAAACGATCTTCTTTTTTTTTTTTTTTTTTTTTTTGGTTGGTTGGATGTGAAACCTTTCACATCCAACTACAATGCTTACAAAAGAAAGATGAACATTGAGATTTTGATAAATTGAAGAAATTTTGCGTCTAGGACTAAATAAATGTAATTAGAATTTAGGAAAGTAATTAAGTTATAGTAAAACAAAAAAAAAAAAAAAAAACTATACGAAATAATAGAATAAAGACAAGTTTTAAATACAATTGTCTCCAACCAAATTGACGATTTTGAAAGAACCCATATGGTCAGTAAGAAAAAATAGTCAACTTTTTAACTTTTGCTGATTTAAGACAGATTTTTTTTTATTCTTAAAAATTAAAAGCAAAAAAAAAACAACATAGTAAACTTGCTTCATTCTTTTTTTTTTTTTTTTTTTTTCTCCCTAATTTGCCTTTATTTGTTACAGTAATTATATTTTGATTTTCATGAAGTATATTTTAAGACTTTAAATTAGGTACCTCCATGAGATCGCTAAAAAAGAGCATAGCACGACGAAAACAAAACTTTATCGTCTAAATGTTTAAGAGGAAAGATCAAAGTATTTTTGGGGTATTTTTTTTACTTTTTTTTAATCATTCCTAGCACATCCAAAATTTTTGTTAAAAGTCTTGTTTTTTTTTAGTCAGCAAAACTGACAGATAATCAATCATGTCAACCATTTTTTTTCCATTTTATAAAAAAAAAAATGAAAATCTCAGTTTGAAATTCTTTTAAAAATCAAGCGGTATCTATATTAAACTTGCTTTATTCTTTTTTTCTCCCTAATTTGACTTTATTTGTTAAAGTAATTATATTTTGATTTTCATAAAGTAAATTTTAAGACTTTTTAAATCAAAGAATTCCTCACTTTTACTTTTTTTTTTTTAAAGAAAGCTTTCTATGCTTTTTCAATGACACATGGATGTACATGGTGTAGTGGTTAGCAAATTTGTCTCACAAGAACAATTATGACTGAGAAGTGAGTTCGATCCTCACTAAGTGTCCCATACTTTTGGCATTGTGCCACATCACATTAGGCTTAGAAAATCACCACTCTGGGGGTAGAAGAGAGGAAGAGAAAAAAAAAAAAAATAAACTTCAAAGCAAAAAAAAAAAACATTGAATTAAAAAATTTCTACTATCATTTTTTTCTTTTCTTCTTTTTATGTGGAAATTTGATATTCAAGATGTATTTTTCTTTGGTAAAAATTATCACAAACGAAAAGACAAAATTCATATGAAAACTTTTTTAGGAACTACCTCAATAGTTCTTTGGAAAACGGGTGAAAAATACAAAAAGGAAGCAGTTGCTGTGGTTTGATTTGGTTTTGTTTCACAGTATCGACCTCACTGGGTTATTTAATGCCGACAAGATTTTTATTATCTGTCTATATTTCTGAGATGAGGTATTATGTACACTATTTACATTATTTGGACTATTGTCTTTATCTTTGTTGCCATATTTATTACAACATTTCGGCTGTTGTATGCTCCTGGCTTCTTCAGGTGGTTGGAATGACAAACTGAACCCTTTAGTTCGCTCACTGGGGTAGACTTTTCTAGTTCCACGTGCCATGTTTAATTGATGATGTCAAGGACACATGAGACAGTGGATAAATACGTTAGTTAGACCTAGTGACAGGACCCAGAGAGTGTGAGTTCAATACCCGGTTAAGGCAGTGGAGAACTTGGAGTGGGGAATTAACAGGAGATAACTGACAACTGGCATCCATTAAACATGTCAAAATTTAATTTGACACGCTAGAGCATTAACAAAAAGATTTGTGCTTGCTGAAAAAAGGTTGGGAAATGCTGGTCTAAAATAACTTCCTTCCAATGTTGTATTCCTACAGAAAGTTACTTCCCTTAGTTTGAATTACTTCCCTTAGCCTTCAAAATCAGTTTGGCTATCTTTTGGGATTCTGTTGAAATATTGTCCATATCCATCATGATCTTACTGACTTGGTCAGTCCTTCTCTGTATCTTTTTTCCTCACTTTTCAAGAAACAAGATATAATTAAAATTCTTTTAAAAAGATTTATTCCAAATTGTAAGGCGTCTTTCCATACAATTTTGAATTTTAAAAATTAATTAAAAAAAAAACTTAACTTAACCAAAATCTAGTAAGCTTTTTTAAAATTAAAGCAACTGGTCAAAAAAAAAAAACTGGAAAGAAACTTGAATTGAACATGTTCTAAAACAGTGTTTCGCAACATTGGGGGCCTTGTAGAAAGTGGGCACTGGAAGTTTTAATTTCATGGGGGGGGAGCAGTGGACATACTGAGAGGGGCAGTAATTAAAAAAAATTATTCAATATTGGCATTGTTTTTCCAACTTTCTACATGGCCACATGTGGTTTCAATGCAGTTACACAGCTTACTAAATAGAAAAACTGCCTGCAAATTACAAAACGCAGAGACTAAGCAGCCTGGAACCAAATGTAAGAGCCTTTGCCAGTAAGCACCAAAGTCAACCACTGCATTGAAAAGATTGAGATAAACTTTGTTTTTTTAGCATTTTAAATATTTATATTTATAATAGAAATGAAAACAATATTAAAATTATTTTTGCACTAATACCTAAGTGGTATCTTACTATGAAAGATGAATTTGAAATTTGATTTAACGTGAGAGGGTGTTGACAAAAAAGTTTTGTGCCCAAAGGGGGTGCTGGTTGAAAGAAATGGTTGGGAAATACTGCTCTAGTGCAACACAGTGATCCAACTTTCCTAGCAATTAATACAATATAATTGTTCCGGTTCATATCCATGGAAAATGTTAGACTAAGAAAGCACTAAGAGATATTCTCCTGGCGGTTAGCATCAGCCATGCTGATAGAATGGCAAAAAAAAGTTTTTCAAAGACAATTAGAAGAGAGAGTTCTCAATCCTTTAAATGACATCAGACATTTTGCTTGGGTCAAGTTATCTAATTACACATTCCAAAGAGATTATTCTTACCTTGGCACACTCTTATATGATGGTTGATATAATTTAGTGGAATGGAAACAAATTATTTACATTATTCAAACTATTTACCTCATCTTTGTCGCCATATTTATCACAACGTTTCAGCCGTTGTATGCTCCAGCCTTCTTCAGGTGGTTGGAATGTTGAACTGAACCCTTTATTTCGCTCACTGGGGTAGACTGTTCTAGTTCCACGTGCCATGTTTAATGGATGTCAGTTATCAGTTATCTCCTGTTAATTCCCCTCTCCAAGTTCTCCACTACCTTAACTGGGTATTGAACTCAAACTCTTTGGGTCCTTTCACTGGATCTAACCAACGCCTTTATCTACTGTGCCATGTGTCCTTGACGATTAAGGCAGTGGAGAACTTGGAGAGGAGAAGTAACAGGAGATAACTGACATCCATTAAACATGTTTCCCAGCTTTCAAATTCAACATTTGTGACTCTGTGCAGCTCAGGTATTGAAGTATTGAGCTCAGGTATTGAATTCCTCTTTCAAAGCAAGCATTACAATCATCCCTAGTTTCAAAGGCTGCCACACGATTGCGTGTCATCTTCAAAAAGCTTAAAATTAGAACCGTTCAATCCAAGAACGTCGTTAATATAAATGAGAAGTAAAATAGGTCCAGGTATGAACCATACAAGTACATCACCGATAACTGTGGACAAAACAGCATCTTGTAATACAAGCCTTTATTTTCTTAAAAAAAATAAAAAATAAAAATAAAGGAAACACTTGATCCAGTTTCAGGCTTTGCCATGAACACTGACTGGTTTCAATTTTGATGAGTAGTCTTTGGTGTGGGGTTGCGTCAAAACCTTCACAGTGTCCCTATCACAGTGTGCGATGGGTAAATCGTCGCCATTTTATATTTTTCATTTCATACATGTACATTGTTGGTTTTTGATTTTGTCAACTACACAATAGAGTAGGGTCATTTGGGCACTGTCTGTAAGAAAAAAAAGAGCGCCATGCTGCAATTCACTCCACCAGAAATTTGGAAATGGCATGCTGTACTGCTGGCATTCACGCCAGAAGCTCCGATGCAAACATTTCATAGTGTTTGGGTGTCAATCTAAAGAGAGTGCAGAGGATTCAGAAAGAGTCGGATGAGTCTAATGGTGATTACGAAGGTGTTTGGAGTGATCACAATGTTATTTCTCCATTCATCTTCCCACAGGGTCTAAGATTCAACACAGAGGCCTACAAGGGCCTTGAGGAGGTAGTGCTGCCCTGGGTCAAGAGGGTGGCTGCTTGAAGATCCTATGTCTGGCAACAGGACTTTGCACACAAACAAGAGAACCCAGTCATGGCTGTCAGACAATTTTTGCAACAACATCACCCCTTACATCTGGCCACCTAACTCCCCAGATTGCAATGTGTGGGGTGTGGTTGAGCAAAAGACAAAGAAAACTCCTTGTAACCCCAAAGAGGAACTGAAGGCATGGATTATGACAGCATTCACCAACTGAAAAAAGGCGACTATCCAGAAGAGTTGTAGGAGATTTTGAAGTCGTCTGGAGGCTGTGGTTGAAGCCAATATGATTTTTTTTTTTTTTTTTTTTTTTTTTTTTTTTTTTTTAAATTGAACAAATTTAATAGCATTTCAAGATATTATGTAATTTTACTAAATATATCTGTTAAAATGAGAAGATGTCAGTGTTATTTTCCTTTTGGCATCATTTAGACGACAATTTGTACATCGCATCATGTATATGTGTATACATGATTTTACACAGCATCACAAGTTGTTGCAACAAATCAAAGCATTAATTTAAAAATTTAAGCCATGTTCATATGTAACCTAGTCAAATCAAAACTTTCATATGGATACCATGCATGCCACCAAATCCATTCAGAAATATCAACACTGTCAGCTGACAACTGCTTTCTCAGATCAATGGTTAAAAAAATATATATATATATATATATATATATATATATATATATATATATATATATATATATATATATATCAGGTCGAGATTTCTTTCCTTGGCATCTTTGACTGGTCCCCATGCACCCAGCACTATGTGATGCATCTCAAAGCACTTTTTTGCATCTACAGTCTATAGTTAGACTCTCTATAGTAAATGACCATTCATGCATGGTGAAGAGTCGCAGCCTTCACGAGGTAACCTTGTTAATATTGTTATGTGGCCCCATTTTGTCCTGTTTCTTTATTCTTATAATTATTTATTACTATAAAATACAAAATCTAACTTAAAATGATGACTTAAATCTGTCGCTACTAGATGCCCTTTTTATCTTACGAAAAGTTCCCATTCACCAAACCCTTTACATTTTGTAATAATAGAATGGAACTTTCTAGAAGAGTTCTAGAGGGTCCCAAAAAAACATATATAAACAGGAGTTCATGCCAATGAGCGAGTTGCCTCCTGAATCCACAGCCACGACTATTGAGGTCAACTTTGGTCCTTTTGATTCAAGAACAAAGCTTCGACTGAAAGAATCTACAGTCCTCGAAAAGAAAAGACTATTGGTAAATACTTCACCCCTTTCCTTGATACTATTGACCAAACTCTTTTATTTTATATATATATGTGTGAATATATATATATATATATATATATATATATATATATATATATATATATATATAATGTGAATATCAAACTATTTTTAAAGAGAAAAATAATATAACTCTTGGACTAGTGACAAATTCCTATGCGTCACCTTAATTTTAACACCAGTGGATTTCCTCTCCCACTCCCTTGTATAGTTACAAGTTAAACCAACTACCTTCTGGGCTCTTGCAGGCTTAGTAACTTGTTAGCATTTCTTAACTTAGATTGTTTTAAACCTCATCCCTATTGTTCTAAAATATATTTTATTATATGTAAAATAAAATCTGCATTTCATTACTAGATGTAATCTCTTTTTCTTAAACCTTAATTTCTACTAATTTGTTTCTTCTTATTTTGTGTTGCACCAACCATAACGATATGCATGGGTATAGACAGAACACAGTGTATCTAGAGGAGTCTAACCTCGATTAAAAATCCCTCTATTCTTTACAGGTAGTTGTAGTTACTGTACCAATCATCAACAAACGGCTGTTTCGTCAGAAAGAACGTAGCAGCTTCATGGAAGATCATCTTGCATGACCAACGGAAGATGCATTGCTCCAGTTACTGGAGAACCATAATAAAATCTATAGTAATGGCACACATAGGTGTCCTTAGCCATTGAAAGATTCAAATGACAGTCCCTATAAATGGTTTAAAATAACTTTTTTAGTGGGCAATTTATCTGTTAAAAATGAGATGTCAGTGTTTATTTTCATTTTGGCATCCTTTAGACGACAATTTATGTATTGAGAGTTACAAGCCAGTTTTTCATTCGTTAAAAAAAATTAATTTAGTTTTACTATAAGGATAAATAGATTTTGGTAAGGGAAATGGAAATATGGAAGAATTCTCAGGATTGTTTGTTCATTTTATTGATGTTGATTAAATGCTTAACTTCAGGCTGAGGAGGGCTGTGCTCCTGAGAAACGCCAGAAAAATGAAGTTGAAACAGGGGAATCACAAGAGAGCAAAAGTGATAGTGAGACAACGGAAAAAACACTAGAAGAAGAAGAAGAATCCAGTGACAAAGAGAAAGGTGAGTTTTCAAATAAGAAATTTCACTTTGTTTTTATATTGAAAAAGAGTCAACATCAATTGGTTCACTGATTGATTCACTAAAGAACCTCAAAATAGAGAACTCACACACACACACACACATATATATATATATTGTTATTATAAAAAAAAAGTACATACAGAATCCTTAATGTGATAGGGTTGGTTTTGCTGCTTAAAATGGCTAGACAATTTCAGTGTTTCTATTTTGAAATAGAAATTTAGATGAAATAAAGAGTGCAACCTGGACGACACAGTGAACCAGTCAGCACTAAATTTGGCTGCACAATCTCTGTTCTTTAATAGGTGTTTGCATATGGCGAAACTATAGGTGTTCGGGACGAGACCATTCAAAGGCAGGGTGTGATTTCTAATCTTTGTAGGAACGTGTTGTTTTATTCTCATGTCTAAGCGTTGAGTTGTTCTCCCTATGTAGTCGGCTCCGCAACTACAAACGTATTTATAAATAATTGAATTAATTTGATGGGGAGGGAGAACGTCTTTACATGCAGATCGAAACATGGGCTGAGTTTGAAAAATAATCCGAACTTCGGCAGAGAAAAAACGACGACGAACATTGGATGAAATTTGTTTAGCTATTTTTTCACATTTGGTACCAATCCAGGGTAATCTGAGGTAAACTGGGCATTTTTTAACAGTGTAGAGCTCGACACTTCTGAACTCTTCAACTTTACTGCGGATAATTGAATTAACAGTATCAAGAGGATAACCCAAACTACATAGGGTATCCTTAATAAAGTCAATTTCGTCGTTCAAGAAGGGCTCAGAGCAGATCTTTAATGCTCTAAAGGTTCTGGAGGCACTTTACATCGGGTCCCTTAAGCCTTCTTTGTGTAAACAACGTGAGTGTTTGTTGGGGCTCGCTGTCATTTGTATCTAGTTCCTTTTTTTTTTTTTTCCTCCCACAACTTCCTTTTATTGTACATTTTTCTGTGTTAATTTTAAATTAAATCTCCTGTTGAAGCCTGAAGAGCGGGAGTGAAACTGGTTGCTTCGCCCATTTTTAACATGTCTCGTAATATTAAGTTTTATACTTTTATTTTATCATATATATATATATATATATATATATATATATATTTATTTTCTGAAGAAGTAATGAATTATTTATTTTCATCTATCCACCTGAATATTCAAAAGCTTATTAAAGAAATATATGAGTATCTACTAAAAATAGCATTGATAAAAATCTGTTGAATTAATGAATAAAAAATCTGTTAGTTCTTTAGAAATTGCCTTATTTATATTTGGATATGAAGCTGAGCAAATATGAAATTTCAATGATCTATGATGAGAAGGATTTTTGCTTAAAGGCACTCTATTACGCTCTGCTTGATTCGTAAATTGTCCAATGTGGCTGAGTTAGTATAAGCATGTCAGATCTAACAACGGTTTCTCCTGCCATGGAGGATGAAGGTTCGAATCATATTTTACTCTAATAAGATTTTGTGAATATTCAAGCCGGTAGACAAAATAATATACCCTTAGTAAATAAACAGTGTGTCTACTCAAATACGAGTATCTGCAAAATATAACATTTAAGTGATAAAATATCTTACTTATTATAAAACGCAGATTGTGTGTCTGTACATTTATATATTGGATCGGATTTCCTACATTTTTCAACCGATTTCAACAAAACTTCACAGGTCTACGTAAAATTACCTTGTGGTGGTTCTGACAGCGCCAAAAATGGGAAAAAACAATTATTTTTGCATGACATCAATTTGAAAACACGATAAAACACGATTCTGTTGCCAGAATGAAAGGGGGACAACTCATATCGAGTTATACTTATAAAACCCAGTTTGTTTGTGTTGTGTGTGTTCGTTTATATAAGGGATCGGATTTCCTACATTTTTCAACTGATTTCAACAAAACTTCACTTTTTTTGGTAGTCTTTCTTGCACACTTTTTTTCTTTATTTTTACATTCAGAATGCTTTAAAAATTCCATTTACAAGACAATTGTTTATAATAAAATTCTATTCAATTGATAGACTCATAACGATTGAAAACAATGTTTTTGTTTGGGTTTGACCAATTCGTAAAAAAAAAAAAAAAAACTACTTAAGACATGCGTGTCCGTCAACCTTAAACAATAATCTTTGTCAATTTTATTTTTCAGTCTTTATGATGGTCAATACTTGATCTATCTCTTACTGTTACATCCCTGGGCAATGCCGGGCTCTACTGCTCGTATACCATATTTTCTGGCTTACAAGACACTGGCTTGGAAGACGTACCCTAATATTGGAAAGAAATTTCTAAGAAAAAAAAAAGTCACATACTAGCGCCACATATTATTTACATTAATCACTCGTTCGATTTTGTTTGTATTGCAATGACATACTAGTCAAGAGCAGAAAGGCTTCCACCTCTGCTAGTAAACAGCATGTTTAAGCTTGTTGCTCAGCTCCAGTAAGGTTTATGGTTTGGAAATACTTGTAACAGCTACGTAATGAGGTTATATCATATAAAAGGCTGAATTACATAGCTAACATTATAGTGTAATGACTCAACATACAAATCCACGTCGTTATCAGTCAAGCCAATTAGGTGACTGCCCAAGCTTACTTGAGTCTGGGCATTGCCTTATATTCATCTTGGAATATGCACACATATTTTTCGGGGTATTTTTTTAGCAAAGAAAGTGCGTGTTGTAAGCCAGAAAATATGGTATATCTTCTGCAAAAAAATAATCTGAATAGTCTTTGACTCTGGTTTCAGCAGAAATTTTAGATACTGAGATCATTTTTTTTCTTTCTTATTTTTTTATTTTTTTATTTATTTTGTTTTAGAAGGGAGCAGGTTTAGCTTTTGATGTTATAGGTGATTCACTAGAATTGTCCATTTTGCTAATATTCCTTATTCATATCACACTGTTCTGTTGTTGCAAAAAACAAAAAAAAATCTTTTTAAAATATGAAAAAGTAGGTTTTTTTAAATCCCTACCATCAATGACATTCAAATATGCAACATCAGTTGCCATCTTTTGTCTTCACGAATCCTGTTCTTTTATTGTCCTTTCTTGTCATCATTAACATCTCATTTTCTTTCACTCTCCATAAACCCTTGCATCTTAGTGGCATTATTGCCTTGGTTGGAATGAAATAATTTAAAAAACAATACACCATTTCCAAAGGATCTAACATTTAATTTTCACTCATTTTCCATAAATCTATAATTGCACTTGATTTTTCCATGTGATTTTTAACCCTAGATTTTAGGGTTAGTTTATTGTTTATTTTAGAGGCAAATGGTTTTGTGTTAAAAGCTGAAACCATTTTTATCTGAAAAATGCATCTTCTGTTATACCATTTAAAAAAAAAAACATTTTTTTAAAAAAAGAAATTGCTCCCACATTGGATTTCTGGGGTGGGGGTTAGACATGGTGGATTTGAGCTTTACACAACTATTCAGTGATTGATAATTCATGGTTTAAATATTTTCAGTATCTGAATTTTAGTATCACAAACTCTGTCTACTTTCAGAATGTAATTGGGTTAATTACCTGAAACTGCTGTAATAGATGTTAATATTGCATTTAAAAAAAAAAAAAAAAATACCCCCCCCCATTTATGGGACCCCTGAAAAACAATGGGGATATCTAGAATCTTTTATTATTAGTATTTATTTGTAATGTATTCCTAGGGTATATATTATGGGTACGTGGCCAAGTGGTTAGACTGTTCGCATTTTGACTATGACACCTGGGTTCGAATCTTGCCATGGTCAGTCAGTCAGGAAGGAGATTTCCTGATGTTATCAGACTGGCCGAGTCAATCCCAGCATGTGGCACCTTTGGAAAGTGTCAGAAAACCATACCATGGGTCACCCCAAGCCTTGTGAGTGAAATTGGGTAGATGGAACCCTTGGGGGCTGTTGATAGCTATGCTAGCATGAAATCATAAGTCATTGTGACTGAGTGTTTGAGTGTGCTGGCTTTGTTCAAATTATAGATCATGCTAGTTAACACACTCTTTCCCAGAAACTAGGGTCTTCTCAGCATAGTTGAAGTATAAACCACAGGTGGGCTCTGGGTGTTGAATAAACAAAAATGCACCTGAGCAAGCGTCTGCAATAGCTACCCTAGTAGATAGGTATCCTTGAATACGAGTGGCCAGCTATACATTCCTAGGGTAGACTGCATACACAAGGTTTCAAAGATTGAAAATGTCTCATTTATTACTTTAAATATGGTTCCAAATTTAGTGAAATCTTCAGTCAGTTCAATGCTTCAGTATGAATGCTGATCAAATCTGAACAATAGATAGTTATGATCTGAAGCTTTTAGGATTGATGAGGTACACAGGGGACTTAGGAAAAATATTGGGCAATTTGAAAGACACCACCTTTGAATCTTCTTTCACTATTAGCTGGAATACACCTGCATTTATTTGTTTGTAGATAAGGAGAAATAGCTCTTGCTGCTTTTATTTGTTAATTGAGGTGCAGAACTCATTAGTCTTTACAATCTGGACACTTCCATATCGAAGCTTCATTTTACCCTCCAAATTTTGGACATGTGTTAAATCCAGACATAGATTTTAATTCTTTTGTATTTCTTTTCATTTTGTTTTTTTTTCTCCAGAAACAAATGATTTAAAAGAAAAACAACCTGAAGAATTAATTCCGCCACCATCACCTGAAGACATTAAAGAAAACATTAAACAGAAATTTTTGGTTGAAATGCCTGAAGACTTCTATGAACTTTGGGAATTTTGTAAATCCAATAAACCCAAAGATCCTTCAAGTAAGAAAATGGTTTCTCAGTTTATTTTGATGTGACTCAATTTTTTTTTTTTTTTTTAAATATTTAAAAAAAATTTTTTTTTTTTTTTTTTTTTAACTATTTTCACATCATTTATGAAATTTGTGTGTATAAAGAATAAAGAACAAATAGGAAACATTTATCCATCTAACATGTTTCACTTTTATTAAAGCTTCATCAGAGAATGAGACCTGAAGAAAAAGAAATTCTGATATTTTTATTTTTGTGTTTGATTTTCATTGGTTACTCAGGCTTTATGTACATTTGACTTATTAAGCAGCGTGTGTGTGTGTGTGTGTAATATATATATATATATATAATGTGTTTGTGTGTGTGTGTGTAGGCAGCATTTTTTTCATTGATACATGTTTCATTAAATAATATAGATAAGTGTTGTCTATTTATTTTATGTAAATTCTTTTCATATCGTCTGATAAGCTTAATAAATCATTATCATTAAACGAAGAAAGAAAATCACAATGTTGAAACATATTTTTTAATCCTATCTAAGCTTTCAGTTTACATAAGCCATTATCAAAGATGACAATTACATTACAATATATTAAGCAATACACGGACAAGACAGTGATGATAGTCTGTTTAAATGGAAGATTTCCAAGCGACGACAAACATGTGCATATAAGACAGTAGATAGCAATTGACATTGCATTTAAATTTTTGCAGATCGAAGTTGGCTGGAAAATATAGAGCCGGAAGGGAGTTCCACAAGTGAGAAGTGTGAGAAAAGAAACTGCTAGCATAGAACTTACATCTTGCCAGCTCAACTGTAAATTGATGAGATCTCGGACTCCAGTCTAGTACTGCGCTTAAATGTCTAGGTAACATAGTGAAACGCTCATCCAAACAATTATGAAGAAAGTATTTATAGAAACGCCTTATGGCTGTGGGAAAGTGACTGAAATTGAGCTGCCAGAACAGATCCAATAATATTGCTGATTCTTCTTTGGAAACAAATATTCCTTACCTATTGTGTTTCACAACTTGATATAAATAATTATACAAACTGGTTTTAATTATGATTGTTCTATTAAGTAGGAGTTCCTCTTCAATAAGTAGTACCCAGTTCTGTTTTATTTGGCTTAATAACTGAATCAGCAATGATTCTTTATTAATTACCCAAGCATAATAATTTGTATGCAGGAAACAAGCAGTCAGTTTCTTCGAAATTTTCTTACACAAATTACATGAAACTGATATCTTCATAACAAGAGTGTACATACACACACACACACACACACACACACACACACACACACACACATATGTATATGTATCTTGAACACACATAAAAATGTTAAAAAAATTAAAATTTGGGGCACACTGGGTTGTATATTAATCTTTTTGTTTTATTATTTAAATTAGGTTCCATGACTAGTTTTAGCCTGCATGGCCATCATTTGGAGAAAAAAATTCCCTGCTTGTTAATAGCAGTGAACTACAGGAGGATTTATATCTCTCTCTCTCACACACACACACACATATATATATATATATATATATATATATATATATATAAAGAAATATAGTTTTTAAGGTGTGCAATATTAATGGGATAAAGTGCTCAATATCATAGATAGAGCGTATATAAATATAAAAGTGAACATTGAAGTCAACACTCAGAGGTGACAGGCTGTTTCATGCTGCATGCATGAAACAGCCTGAGTGTTGACTTCAATGTTCACTTATATGTGTGTGTGTGTGGAAGTTCTCTGTTTATGTTAAGGTTCTTTAGTGAATCAATCAATGGACCAATTGACATTCTGACTCTTTTTCAATATAAAAACAAAGTGAAATTTCTTTTTTGAAAACTCACCTTTCTGTTTGTTACAGGATTCTTCTAGTGTTCTTTAGTGAATGACTGTCTCTGGAACTTTGTCATTTTCACTTGTTTTTTTTTATCATTAATTTTGGTCAGTTCTTGTGTTGGTTAAATCGCCCCTTTTAACTTAAATAGCGGCTGGGAGATTTATGAGTCTCAGAATTCCCTATTTAGTCATTTTGACCACTTTATTGGTTGCTGGGAAGGGGATGTGTGTTTTAAGTGTATGCTATCTTTTAGTTTTTTGTGTGTGTATATGTAGGAAACCTCAACACCTGTAAGCATGTTTGTCTAGAGTGGTTGAGAAATGTGATTTATATTATATATATATATATATATATATATATATATATATATATATATATATTCTGTGTTGTTTAATCTGTGGTTAAGTCATGTGGACAAAGTGTTTTGAGGCACAAATTCCATTTGTCTTCATGTTCCTCTAGTATTTTTCTAAGGTTATCTTTTCTGTCTATTTCTATTCTTTCAATAAAAGGGAAGTTTGCATGGCTATTAAAATCACGTTTTTCTAGGCGGAAACGTTCTATAGGTAATAATCTTTTGTGGGGAACTGACTTTATCTGATTCTAATAATTATTAATTCTGTAGTGAAAGGGCCATTCGAATTTTCCCACATTGTTTCCAGCATAGTATGCATTCTAATAAGTAAATTATGTTATGACTTCTACAGTTAGAGTTGCGGTAGATTTTAAAAGTAGTCTTAGTGACTGAGCTAGTGAATGAATTAGTTGGTCTAATGTGGTTACAACATCAATACTAGAATGCCTTACTGTCATTATAAGTGGCTTCTATCAACATCTTGATTTATTATCTAGCAGGAACTTAAGCTAGTTGGCAAAATGATTGGTATGAAAAGCCTTTCTCTGTTGCTGTAGAAGCCCTTGCCGTTTGTTGTGAATGAGTAAAAACTGTTCTTCAATAATTAATTCTACTGGCCAAGACCCCAGCAAAATCGAGTTGGTATTTTTAGTTAGATGACAATGAGATGCCTTCTGGATTTGCTTGTCTTGTAAGCTATGTTTAGGAAAGTGTGGGGTGTTTATTCTTTTTTAGCTCTTCTCTTGTTTCAACTTTGAAGGCAATAAATATGATGTGTTGCCAGATTTTGAGGAATATTGGAATTCAGTTGCTACAATGAAAACAATATTCAAAAATAATGGATCCTTCCACCTTCATTTTATTTTTATTTTTTGTTTCTCTTACAATTTTGTTTCTTTTTTTGTTTCTTTTTTCCATTTTCGTTTCTTTTTTCCATTTTCGTTTCTTTTTTCCATTTTCGTTTCTTTTTTCCATTTTCATTTCTTTTTTCCATTTTCATTTCTTTTTTCCGTTTTTCTTTTTTCCGTTTTTCTTTTTTCTTTTTCCTTTTCCTGTTTCTCCTTTTTCCGTTTTTCTTTTTCCTTTTCTCCTTTTTCCGTTTTTCTTTTTCCTTTTCTCCTTTTTCCGTTTTTCTTTTTCCTTTTCTCCTTTTTCCGTTTTTCTTTTTCCTTTTCTCCTTTTTCCGTTTTTCTTTTTCCTTTTCTCCTTTTTCCGTTTTTCTTTTTCCTTTTCTCCTTTTTCCGTTTTTCTTTTTCCTTTTCTCCTTTTTCCGTTTTTCTTTTTCCTTTTCTCCTTTTTCCGTTTTTCTTTTTCCTTTTTCTTCTTTCTCTTTGTTTTTTCATTTCTTTTTTTCTATACTCCATAAAAATACTTTATATATCATTCTTAAAATAAAAGATGAAAAATCTTTGAAATCTTTTTAGGTTGTTTTTCTGACCTCCTTGGATTTAATTTGGTTGGGCCATTTGATATTCTTGCTGGCAAACACAAAAAGCTAAATGGAAAAAACAGTAAAGGTCATCTGCCAAATTATTTGCTCCATTGGCGATATTACTTTGACCCTCCAGAATTCCAGACAGTTATTCAAGGAGATGACCAGACACAGTTTCATTTAGGCTATTACAGGTCAGTTGGATTTATTTTTTTTATTTTAAATCAATAAATGATGATTTCTCTCATTATTTTTAGTTGCCAGTGAAATATTATCCTGTAAATTAAATAATATTACTAAATCATTATCTCTAAACAAAAAATATTCTTATAATGTATAAAATATTTTCTGGTTTTAAAAAAAACCTGCAAAAGTTTGATAAGCCATAAAAAAACAAATCACTCAATTCCCCACTTATCTCTTCCTTCCTCATTTTGTGATTCTGACCAATGAGATATCAGAGAATGACTTTTGATTGGTTGATTCTGACCAATAAGATATCAGAGAATGACTTTTGATTGGTTGATTCTGACCAATAAGATATCAGAGAATGACTTTGATTGGTTGATGACCAATAAGATATCAGAGAATGACTTTTGATTGGTTGATTCTGACCAATAAGATATCAGAGAATGACTTTTGATTGGTTGATTCTGACCAATAAGATATCAGAGAATGACTTTTGATTGGTTGATTCTGACCAATAAGATATCAGAGAATGACTTTTGATTGGTTGATTCTGACCAATAAGATATCAGAGAATGACTTTTGATTGGTTGATTCTGACCAATAAGATATCAGAGAATGACTTTTGATTGGTTGATTCTGACCAATAAGATATCAGAGAATGACTTTTGATTGGTTGATTCTGACCAATAAGATATCAGAGAATGACTTTTGATTGGTTGATTCTGACCAATAAGATATCAGAGAATGACTTTTGATTGGTTGATTCTGACCAATAAGATATCAGAGAATGACTTTTGATTGGTTGATTCTGACCAATAAGATATCAGAGAATGACTTTTGATTGGTTGATTCTGACCAATAAGATATCAGAGAATGACTTTTGATTGGTTGATTCTGACCAATAAGATATCAGAGAATGACTTTTGATTGGTTGATTCTGACCAATAAGATATCAGAGAATGACTTTTGATTGGTTGATTCTGACCAATAAGATATCAGAGAATGACTTTTAAATTTCTGTTATTGTTGCTTGCTTTGGGTGGAGATTTTGACTTCAGTCAATTTCCCACATCATAACCAGGGTTTGCTAGATTAAAATTTTTATTTAAAGCCAAATAATATGTATAAAAAAGTCTATGTAACAAAGAAGAAACCTCATCAGAAGAATTACCATGAAAATATTTAGAGGAAAGGTACAGGGAAACTATGCTATGGTGATGGGAAAGTAAATGAAGTTTTTTTTCTTTTCTTTTTTTTTTTCTTTTTTTTTTTCTTTTCTTTTCTTTTTTTTTTTTTTTTTTTTTTTTTTTTTCTTTTTTTTTCTTTTCTTTTTTTTTCTTTTCTTTTTTTTTCTTTTAAATCAATATCACCCCATCGTTTTATGTGCTGTGTCCTTTCAGGACATAGATGATCATGGCTCTCAACAAGTTCCTTCCCTCTGCTACCTCCCCCAGACCACATTCTGTCATCCACTTGCTTAAGGCCACTATGTCATGTATTGTTTTCCCTTGTCAATCTTTCCTTCTATTCAACCCATGAGTATCAGATTCTCCAGGCCCTCCTTCCTCATTACGTTTCCCAGAAACTTCAGCTGCCTATTCCTGTTATTAAGTATAAGCCTCCTCCTTGTTTGCATCCTCTCTAAGACCTCATTGTTGCTCACATGCTCAGTCCATGATATTCTCAGCATCCTTCTGTAGAACCACATCTCCATTGCCTCAGATCTCTTCTTCATCTTTGAGGAGACCATACAACATTCGCTGCCGTATAGGAGGACAAATGTCACATAACAGCTCAGTAATCTTTTTGTTACCAAAGAAATCCTTCTGCTTTTTTTTTTTTCCTAGCTTTTGTAATGCGTCCTTGGCCATCACAATACGTCTCTGGATTTTGGTGTTGCACTTACTGTCTACTGTCGAAACCCTTCCCAGATATTTTAATTTCTGCACCTGCTTGATTTTAGTGTCCCTGACCTGCAAATCGCATTTTGGGCTCATTCTTTTACTGATGACCATCACCCCATGCAAGGCAGTAAAGCCACTGTGACAGAAAAGGTTACAGAGTGTGGAAGAATTAGGAACAGAAACATTAATAATGAGTGGGAAGAGAAAAGAACAATCAGGAGGACAGTAGGTAGTGATTAACATTGCATTTAAATTTTTGCAGATTAAAGTTGGCTGGAAAGCATAAAGCCAGTTTAAAAAATTTTTTATAAGGTCAGAAAAAACAAATCAGCATATGAGATTTTATTTATTAATCGCAGTTGGATTTTAGGCATTTTATAATGAAATCATTTCAATTTTAAATATTGTTTTTTTTTTTTTTTTTTTTTTTTTTAACTGTAAATTTGGAAATTTAATTTATTTAGATAACAATAGTGAAATGAGTATGATTCACTGCAAAATCTTGTTTTTATAGTCTTGTTTTTGGCAGTCTAGTAGGGCAACTTTGAATTCAAAACAGTGGAGAATTGGGGAAAACTATGCCAATATCTTTTCTAAGTCATGGCAATTCACAGTTAATAAAGAAAAGAAATCTCTGGAGAGCTATGATTGCCTCTATTTTAAAGGGCCTTGATGTGACATGCACCAGCGGTCGTGGTCGCAGTCCGGCGCCAATATGTGACGTCCACTAGTTGTGGCGTCAATATATGACACTGCGCCGTTGGCCCGTGGTCAACTCCCAGTTGTGGTGCGAAGCTGTAAGGTTTCTTCCACCAGCATTTTGGGGTTGACTCCTTGTCGCTACCACCAGCCTGTGCCCCGGTCAATCTGGTCGTTTCCGGTTTGATACCAGCTTTGTCGTTCTCAGCTCGCCTCCAACGCTTGGTCACTGAAGTAACTGCTTTGATCTCAAGTCTAACCTACCCACGTTGAGACTTTGATCTTAGGTAGACAAAATCAATCAGGCATCGGGCTGTAGTTCAAGCTGAATTTGGGGTAAAGGTCATACCGCACAAGTGTAAGTAAAAAACAAACTCACAAGGTTCAAATATGTTGTGAAATAACAATTATCTTTATCTATCTGTTGAATACAGGAGTGTGTTTCTCTCCCGGCCCGTTTCTATGGATTTGTGACATTTTTTGTGCTTCTTAAGCGAGTTATGGTATCTTAAGTTGTTCATCAATAAAAACTTGCTTTTGGTAGGAAGACTAAGTCGAAGAGGACGTGGGAATCTTTCCGTCAGCTTCTGCGAGGCAACACTCTGACTGTAACTTTAACCGTGTTTGCACTCCAAAAACTCTGCCGAAACTCTCTGATCAGCTACCTCAAGACGTCTGTTTATATGGGCACCGACCAACTTCGGGGTGGGGCCTGACGTGGTTTGGGTTCTTTGACAATTCTTAATTACCAACAAGAATTCTCTTTGTTCTTAGGCCAGGAAAATTAGATACTTCCAATTTTTGGAAGATTAATCTCTTTCCACTTCGGGGTTCCTCCCTCGTCTGTGAAGGAAGGTTGGAGGAGAGTTATCCTCCTAGACTCTTCCTCTCTCACATTGGTATCTCATACCAATCCCCTCAATGGGTGTTAACAACTCCTGTCTTTCTCATACATTCACCTCTGCCTATTACCCATGCTACTTCTTAGCCAATGATCTCTCAGCGGTGTGGGTGTGGTTAGACTGGCCCTCATGTTTACAAAATCCTTTTTTTTTTTTTCTTTTTCCTTTTCCTTCAGCCAAAACCTTTACAATTCCCAGATTGCCATTCAATTCCTTATCACATTCCAAATCCACTTTAGCCAACTTTTAACTGGGTGGTCATGTTTATCTGATAATTAAATTCTTTATTTTTCTTATGTCTTAAAATTCTCTTATCACCAGATGCCTATTTTCAACGACACTGCGTCTGACGTCAACAGTTTGAAAAAAGTAATAATAACACTTTCATCCGTGATTTCCTTTCTCATGCCAAGATTCGTACATAGAGCAGATGGCTTCCCTCGCTGGAATCAGTAATTAAAGTTAAATGATATCTCTGAAAGATAATCAATGGCTACTCTCCAGAGTTGTCCCAAGCCAAATTTCCTCCACGGTCACATGCGTCGACCAGCTTTGCTTATCTTTTAGAATTCTGTTTCGTTTGACGCGTCACTCCCTTATTGCGACATTAATTAATTTGACACAATCACAGTCTCGCTCCTTCTTATTGATTTTCTGTCTTTTGCGAAAAGTATCTTCCTTTTATAAATAAAATAAATTCTTTTTTCAATGTCTATCTTTTGGTATAGCTCTTTCTCGCCTTAAGTATTTCCCGTTTTTAATTTTTATGGTTAATTAGTTAGCCAATTACCATAGCTAAATAGTGTCACATTGACATCAATGTCTGTGTGATAGAATTGTCTAGATGAGGATATTAGTCCAAAATACTTCACTTGACAGTTTTCAATACTGTCACAAAAAATGAAAACTTTCATTTGATATTTTTTTTTTTTTTTTTTTTTTCCATTGAAAATCACCACTCAGGCTCAGGACAAAAAGCAAAAAAAAAAATATAAACAAACATGAAAAGAAATTACTTTTATTTTGTTTATTAAAATTTTCATAAATGAAATTACTTTTATTTTGTTTATTAAAATATATAAAAACATTTTTTTTAAATATATCATTTATTTTCTAGGGATGATCCTTTGGAGTTACCTGTGTTTGTTGCTTCCAATTCTGCCAAGGAAAGTTGTTTGATTAAACCCTGTGGAGAGAATTTGTTTGGTGCCATCAAGTAAATCACTTTTCTTGTCAATTTTCGGTAGAATTTAAGTTTTTTTAATATAGAGAGTGTGGCAGAAATACCTCCTCCCACATAAAAGTAAGACATTAGTGGCAATTGTGTCTTCATCTAGCTAATGTCGTACCATTATGTGGAATGTATTTCTGGCACATCTTCCAAATCTTTAAAATAACAACACTAACTTCCATATATATCTCAGATAAATTCTGCTATTGACTTTAAGTTGATGCTCTGACAGTGATTATTGCCCTTAAAAGGAACTTTCAACCTTAAGTGCCTACTAAAGCACACGTCAGCTAAAGTGCCTACTAAAGCACACACGTTGACATTAGCACTAGTGTCTGAGATTGAGCTACAAATTTTCAGATCTTTTATCCAAATAGATATTTTTGTTTGTGTGAGAATCTCTTTGATTCTTGTTGAAGATGTGAGACTGAAGCTGTGAGGTGGTTAAACATTAATTCAAAGCAGAAAAAAAGGTTACGCCCCCAAATGAAATATAAACTGGAAGATAGAATAGAAGACATTTTCCCTAGTAATGTGGAAGTGAAGAAAGCGTCATCTATGTTGCCACACCCTGACAAATTGGAATAATGCACCAAGAGTTTACTTTTTTTTTTTTTTTTTTCTATTAAAAATCTGGCATGTGGGTAAAGCAAATTGAGAAATAGCTTTATCGCTTCCTTGGGAAGTTAGAAAAACACATGTCATCGGCGAAAAGAGAAGACAGGAATTATATTTTCATTAGTGAAAATGAATTGGGAAATTAAAACGGAGCATGAACCCACTGCAAGCGTTAGGATTATGTGAATCGGTCCATGCCTCTGAAATCTACGTCAACTGCCACCAGATTTCTTGATGCCAAGAAATTGAACCCCCTCCAGAAGTTTAGACAAGTCCCAGTGTTACTATAGAGATTGATACAGGAAGGGTTAATTTTTGTTGTACCAAGAGCTATATAAACCAATTGAAGATGAATCTCTCGTTTTATTTTTTCGTTGTGAATATATTTTTCTTCCTTAATGTAACACCCTCCATGGCTTGAACTAGTGCTGCCATTATGGTGACATTTGATTTTCCACTGCTCTAAGATCAAGAACACAATGTGTGTGGAGTTAGTGTGGATCGAAGCGACCAGTGGCCAACAACCAACTTGGACCAGCACAAAGTTAGTCCTGTGGTTAGAATGTTGTCGTCCTAAAACTCCAAGGACTGGACATTTAAATGTGGTTACACCACTGGGTGTAGGTGTTGGCCAAAAGGTGTTATATTAATTGGTGACTGTGACCAAGGATTTGACTCTGCTGGCAGGTGGTGTTATAGAGATAGTGCTATTGTATTTGTTGGCATATAAGACGCTCTTCCCACCTCCACATTTAATTATACAGTATCTTCAGAATCAGAATGCTATAACAGTGACAAATACAAATGTATGAGAATATGTGCTTTCATAAGTTTTGTAGACTATACAGAAACATCAGTGTGACTTTCTTTGTTAAAGATACTGGAACAAGAAATGCAATGTTTATAATCCAAAGATTATCATAGTGATCAATAGAAATGCAAAGGGAGATATGCTTTCACTTTCACCATCTGTTTAGGTTTTATTACAATTCTAATCATCACTTTTTAACTTTTACCATGCTAATTTCTTTCTAGAATTGTTCCACCCTGCTACTGCATATTTTATTTATTTTTTTTTTTTTTAGAGGGCAAAACATGAACACCTACTGTTTTAAAATTTTTATAACTTTCTTTGTATTGTGTGTATAGATTTTATTTTTTGTAATAAAAGAATGAATAAATAATATTTTGATGTAATGCATTACGCTTTGCATGCACATTTTGATGTTGAAAACAAAAAAAAATTGAAACGCGAAATAAAAAAATGGGTAATAAAAAATACATAAATAATTCAACATACTTCAACTTCTATTACCCCTTGTGGAGATCTGGAGGTGCAATAAGAAGCAAAATTACTAAGGCAGCTTTCATTATGTCAAAAAACTGGCATGTTTCCTTACATACCAGAAGACAGTAGCATTTGTTTGCTCTTTCTTTCACCTGACTCTATTCATTAACGAGAAAAATAAATATAAGTTATTATTTTGTCGTTTATAAATAGATAAAATAATTCACCTTCAGAAAGGCCATCAGATATATCGATGGTCACTAGTAGCTTCCATAAAATTAGTTAGGCATGGATGATAATAGATGCTAGTAGTCATCATCGCTTTCCTCCATGACACCATCAATATCCACTCGAGTAAAGCCTTCAAAATCATCATTGGAGTCTTAATCAAAGCAAAACTGAATAAAGGCTTTGTTGTATACTGACACACAGCCATTTTTGTTTGCAAAAATGTTAACGTGGATTTAATTGATGTTACACTTCATGTAGTGTCAAGGAGAATTTAAAATGGTGTTGGAAAACTGAAGTTTAACCTTGTTTCAAAGTAGTTTAACGTACCTAGTTTTAAGTATAGCTAAAATGACTAATGTGATTTCAGGCATTACTGTAAATCAGTTGGCAAATGTTTTCTGTGAACTGCAAAATCATATTACCCTTTGTATTGCTAATGATGGAGGACATGTGGAAACTTAAATAAAATTTCAATAAAACCTTAAAAAATATAGATTTACTTCTTTCTAATCCTTTTTACAAATTATTTCTATTGTAAATACAAATAAAGTTATAAATTGTTTAAAGTGCACACGAACTTTATGGACACACTGTATATGATGATGACATTTTACAAAAATATTTTGGATTTCAAGATGATTTAAATTTTGCCAATTAAAATCTTTCATAATAGTTCCAGGACAATGGTGAAAAAAAAATCTGACCAAATATTATATTTCTTGGTGGGGATGGGATTCTTGGTCTAGCTGATAAACTGTGTGTGTGTCTTTGTATCTAAAATCTGCCAAAATAAAAAAAAAACTGGTTCCTCATTGTTGTGAAAAATCACTTAAAATGACAAGTCACTTACATTTTAGCAACAAAAAAAGCCAAAGAAATTTTCTGATGTAGTTAATTTAAACATGAAAAGCCCCCAGAACTTTCTGACTCTATATACTCTTGAATAAAGATTTGATTTATTTTCCTGGCAAAAAATTGTACATTTGTCCAGCAAAACAACTGGTCAAAAAACAATGTTTAAGAAACTAATCCGCAAACTATTTGTAGTATAGTGAGTTAAATCTTCCATGTCTGAATTCGTTTTTTTTATTTCTTGTTTTTTTTTTTCTTTACAGCTGGTATTTAGCTGATCGACTCAAGTCCAAAAAACTATCTACAAAAGAGAGAAAGGCTATTAGTGATCTTCAAACAAAACTGATCCATTGGTCTGAGGAGCGAAATATTTCCTTGAAAATGCAAACTGCAGGCATGACTGCAAGGAACAAAAAGGTGGTCTGCAAGACGTTCCATGGAGCAGGAATTGTTGTGAAACTGGATCAGAATAAAGTTGGTTACCGACCAGTACCGGAATCGGCAGGTAATTAGAAGCCTTTATTTCATTCGGTTCATATTTGTTTTATTTCTGTCTTTCCAAATAATTTCCCACCATGAAGTATGCCGATTCTCAAACTACAGTTTGATCCAAAAATCCAACTTGGGAAACAGTTTAGAAAAATTTAAAGACTTTTTTTTTATCTCGGTTTCTTCTTTACTCTTTATAAATGCCGTCGGTTATGTGCCACATGTGATACGCTATAGGAATCATGTCTCTTTAGATTCATGATTGACAGTGGATTGGTTGCCAACCAAGGCTATAGGACCCAGTATGTCTTGATATTTAACTCATAGCTGGTGGGGGAGAAGTGATGGATTTATAACTTACCCCAAGTGTATTTGCTTGTAAGTGAATATAGCAAACCAAAATGAAATTTGAACTGTTTTCAGATTTCCACAACACACATCCTCTTTATAAACTACCTTGTTTTTTAAAAAAAAAAAAAAGAAACCCCAAAACTATTTCTGTCTGCTGCATATTGTGTAATTTACACGACTTAAGAATTTTAATCATTGTGCATATTTTTAATTGCTTTTTTTTTTTTTTAATGGGTCAGCATACTCATTTGTCTTAGGCTGCTAGGGAATGGGCATCTTTCTTTATCAAATTTTTTAACCATCTCTACACTGGTTGCCAACCAAGGCTAGATAACCTTATCTGCTCAGATATTTAACCCATAGCTGGGGATAGAAGGAACTGATTCATAACTTTCTGAAAGGTTTGTGTGAAAGTGAACTTGGCTGGAATTTGAAACTCTGCTTGCCAATTTCTCTTTATTAGCTGTTAAACTGCCTGAACCTCCAAGCTGTGATAGTTTAAATAAAATAAAAATGCTGCTTTAATAATAACAGTAGAATTTGCAGAATAGTTTTTTCTGTTTGTGTGTCTTATCAGTATCAATAAGTGTGCAGCCAAATTTTGAAAACAAAAATTGATTTTACACTACAAATAATTAGTTTTTAATGCAATCTCTTTCAGTGTCAATGCACTTAATTTAGTGATAAATATTAATTATATTGACAGAACATTATACACTGAAAATTTCACATCAAAATTCACCTAATAACTTGTAACGTTCTGCTCAAAAATTGCCTTGAGTCAACCAAAAAGAGCCAATCAACTTGACACCATCTCCTGATTGGCCATTTCAGCAAATCCTCATGGACATCTTCCATGTTGGGAACCATGGTTACTTAGCATGCACTGACAGGTTAACAGGCTGGCTAAATCTATACCACTTGAGCCACAGAGAAGCTAATGCGTCAAGGATTATTTCAATTTGCGAGACATATTTCAAGCTTCACGGTGCTCCCGAGGAACTCAGCACTGATGGTGGGCCACCCTTCACATCCCTTACATTCAAGAAATTTTTACAAGACTGGGCTGTTAAACACAGGTTATCATCTGCTGGTTACCCACAATCCAATGGTCGGGCAGAGCTTGCTGTCAAAACAGCAAAGAGAATCGTAAATGGCAACACAGGAGCCCAAGGATCGTTGGACAATAATCGTGCTGCAAGAGCCATCCTCCAATACAGGAATATGCCCATTCAAAACATTGGGCTATCCCCTGCTCAACTACTACTTCCACCGCCAACTACGTGACTACATACCATCCTACCCCACACTCTATAAGCCACATGCGAATTGGATAACTGCAGCCCAAAATCGCGAGATAAGTCTGTCCCGGCGAACGCTCGTCTCATAGACCGATACAACAGAACAGCACACGCCTTAAACCCCCCTTCAAAAAGGACAAAAGTGGCACTACAATGACCAACAACCCGCCGATGGGACACAACAGGTCAGGTCATTGAAACCCTCCCCAACCACCAATACCGTATCAGAGTTGATGGATCAGGTAAAATTACCTTATGAAATCGCCAATTCCTCAGGAAACTGGATACACCTACAATTCCAGTTCCCAGACCTAATGCCTTACCTGAGACCCCTACACCAGTGCCACAAACATTCGACGCTGGAATAACATCAAACACTGCTCAGTCGTCTACAATAACATGGACAAAAAACCCTCGGGCATTGTCCAGACTACTTCCGCACAACCAGCCAGGTTTAAAGGAACTCATCCCTCCCCAAAGGCCACTACCCACATGCGATGGGGGGAAGGAGATGTAGAATAACAATAATAAACAGCACTTACGGGTGTAAAGGTCCCAAAGGTCCAGCTGGCAGACAAAAAATAAAGCAGGTTGTAACTTAATACAAACCCTGAGGATTTATTGCAACAATGGTTACAATTGTGGCACAAGGCAAAAAAGGGGGGGAAAAGGCTGGTCAACACTAACTATCTTATACCTAGCTAATCTGACTCACGACCCATTCATACATTACAATTTACTCATTCACCACAAGAACTCATCCATCACCGTTCAATCCTCCAACCACCATAATACCACATCCACTCCAAGGAACCTACCAAAACGCGCCCCAATCCATAAAAATTTGATGATACATAAATGATATACATAAAATTCTAATAATGATAGAATGCAAGGGAGGGAGATGAACCCAATAATAAATAAAAATAAACACAAAATACAAACTAAACATAACACATGTTAGTAGGGACCGTCCAACCCTCAAAAACAGAGAGGCCGCTGTATTCTGCCCAGGGGACAGAATCAAGAGACGCTCTCGCTAAGGGAGTGGGAAAGAGGAGAAAATATTATGCCGGAATGGGAAAATGTAAAGCTGACCCAGTCGAGATAAAAAGGGGGTCCAAAACAAACTGGGGAGGTTGGGAATCTCGACTTGGACCATAACCAAAGAGCAGCCGGGATACAGGCCAGGAACAACATTTACTCACATTAACTAGGTACACTGAAGCTTGTCTAACCTAACCAAGGGGAGGGTTCCACAGGAAGCCACCCCGATGTGCTGTAGGTTGACCTAGAAAAGAAAATCAAGGCTAGCCCCGGTCACACGAACCAAGCTCGCCTCTTTTACCCACCTTTCGCTGAAGACTGTCGAATGCAATCGTTTTCTATCAGATCTAATCTTCATCTTGAGCTGATGCTCAAAGAATTGGATTAGATGCTGATAAGAAAGACGGTTGCCCCGCAAGACTTCCTCCATTCGCGTCGTCCAAATCACCATTCGAGCCGTGGCCATCAGCATCAGAAACACCATTCGTTTCTCCCCGGAATACGGGGGCGACACATTGTCACACGCGTATGCGCGATCAATGGACACAAGCTGTTCGGGAGCGAGACGAGCCGTCAGCTCGCCGACATGGTCCCATAAGGGGCGGACCCGGGGGCAATGGTAGAAGGCGTGCGAAGCCGTTTCTTCTAAGCCAAGACCACACCGTTCACAGTCTGGCAAATCCGCCAAACCCCATATGAAAGCCTTGTCATTGAGAGGCAGCCGATTCGAGCCAATCGCCAGGTAAGCGAAAACTCAGGGTTACTGAGGTAATCCGCCGCTGGCGCCCAAGACCAATAGGAGCGATACTCCTCCTCCGACAAGTCGAGCGTATCACGTAGCTTATCCTTCGCGCGACCCTCCACTAAACCACGATAGAAGACCTTCCTAGGCCGAGAAAGGTCACTGGACCGGGAATGGCCTTCAAGGCCAACCGACACTCGCGGAGGAAATCCGACTCATCCCGGGGTTTACAACGGCGCTCAACCCGCGAGATGGGGGACTGATGGTAAGGCTAGGAAGGCGTCCCTAACAATCCCCTCCAGAATCGGATCTCCTCTAGTCAATGCGCGGCGTAGGAAAGCCAACCTAGAGGCACGGATGTGACTCAACAGGTGCGGCATTCCCAGCCCCCCATGACACGGACGTTTAGTGCAGACTCGTCTGTCGACCCTGTTCACGCGTCCCCTCCATAAAATGGAGGATAGCGATCGCTCGAGCACCTTCCTGTGGTCTTTACAGAGAGGAAGTACGGACAATCGATAAAGAATCAGGGGAAAATGTATGTAACACACACCTCCGCCCTGCCCTTCACGGACAACCTCCGTCGATTCCAAATCTTACCGGCAAAATCGACCTTTGCTCGTACTTCAGACCAATTCTTCTCCAGCTGGAGGTCGGGCCCAAACCACACTCCAAGAATGCGGACAGGACCGTCCGTCCAACCGAAGCGGCCCGGAAGATCGACCCCCTTCCAGGCACCTAACAACCAAGCCGGACGACTTGTCGCGGTTTATCTTGGCCCCTGTCACCTTCTCGTACCGATCAAGCGCCTTCTGTACCGCCTCAATGTCGCTGCGGGACGACACGAAAGCAGATACGTCATCGGCGTACGCGGAAACCCTGGCTCGAGACCCTCCAGGGACGGCGATTCCACGTAGGGCCGGACTGCGGTCTCGTCCTTCAGCCCGGCGAAGGAGAGGCTCCAACGCCAAAGCATAAAGGAGAGGCGACAGCGGACAACCCTGACGAACCGACCTAGACAGCACGAACGCGTCCGACAACCTTCCGTTCACCTGTACCACAGCACTGGGGAGCGATACAGGAGGCTAATCCAGCGGCAGAAGTTGGGTGCGAATCCAGCGGCCTGCAGGACAGTAGCAAGGTAGCGATGGTCAACCCTATCAAATGCCTTGGACTGATCCAAATTGATCAGCGCGGCTTCTTCGTCGTCTTTTACGCCCTCTATGATCGTGCGGATCAGATGCAGGTTGCTCTGAATTGTTCGGCCCCTCACAGAACAAGTCTGCTCAGGTCCCAACAGAGACTCGGCAACTGACTGCAAACGCTCCTGCAGGATCTTGGCCATAATCTTTAACTCTGTGTTTAGCAGAGTTATGGGCCTGTAATCATCTAGCTTCCCCCACCACCTTTGCCCTTTTTCAACAGAGTGATCACACCCCTGGTGATCCGATTGGGGATGGACCCCGACCGAAACCAGTTGTTGAACACTGCTGTCAAAATCGGAACAAAGATGTGCGACAGCCTCAAGTACAATTCATAGGGCAAACCATCCAGACCGGGCGACTTGCCTCTGCC